TGATGGGGCACAAAGGGTGCCTGCGGGCCGCAGTGGGCTGCAAACACCCCCCAGACTGTGCGCACCACGTAGGCACCATCTCGTCTCGCTCCATGACCGTGCGGAAATGCAGCCGGTGGCAACGCCTCGGGTCTCAGCTGTGCCACTGGCCTCTGGGGACACGGAGCCTGGCAGTGTCCCCACGTCCCTGAGCAGGGCGACAACTTGGCTGCCCCACGGGAGGATTGCCCACATCTGTCCGTGCCATGTCCCAGCTCAGCCACCCCCTGCCCACCAGTGCCTTTGTGTCACAAGGCAGGGGGTGTCCCCCAGGGTGTCCCCGGGGCGGCGGGACTCCCACTGCCTGTCCCCTGCAGACATCATGGCTGACAAGGAGGGGGGGACGCTGTCGCTGGAGGAGGAGGAGGATGGACGCTGTCGCTGGAGGAGGAGGAGGATGCCGACGTGGCCCTGGCATACAAGACACCGGAGAAGAAGAGCCTGCAGGAGATCCAGGAGCTGGACCCAGGGGACGAGAGCCTGAGGAAGTACAAGCAGGCGCTGCTGGTTGCCATCCCTGCTGCTGTGGGTAAGGCTGGGGGCTGCCCGCTGGGGCTGGGCACCCTGGCACCCCGGCACCCCAGCCAGGTGATGCAGCCCTCAGCAGGTGCAAGGAGCTCAAGCGTCCCCAGCACCCGTGGGGCATCCCCAGCAGGGAGGGCGCATCCCAGCTGGCATCGCCTGTGGGTGTTGCCTCTGCCCCCCACCTGCGCGGAGACCCCGGTATCCCCCTGCTGACATGGCTGCCCGGGGACCCCGGTTGCCTTGGTTACGGGATCACTGCTGCAGTTTCCATAGGAACGGTTACAAGGGACCAGGAAATTCATTGGGATGACAGAGACTGAGCAAGCAGCCACCGAGGCCCGGGGTGGCACAGCTGTCGGTGCCCAGACGGTGCCCCCCGCTCTCCATGACACCCACAGCAGCCACCCCAGGCTGGTGCCAGGCTGGGGTGCTCTACGGGCCCAGCACCCTGGTGTGCTGGCTGATGGGTGCATGACAGCTTGGGGGGATGGTGTGCAAGCTGGTGAGGTGGGTGCAAACCAGTGGGGTGCATGAGGCGTGCATGGCACGTGTGCACACTGATGGGGTGCAAGTGGGCTGGTGGGGGTGCAACCTGCTGATGGGGTGCAGGTTGGGCTGTTGAGGTGCAGTTAGGCCAGTGCCCTCCTTGATAGATCCTTTGCCTGCCTCCTCCTCTCCACCCACCCTTGGCCCGCTCCCGAGCCAGGGAGCATTGCACCCCGGGAGATACCTGTGGCTGGGTCCTTTTAAATGTGGTCTTACCCCAAAGGCGTCGATGCTCAGGCTGGGGCTGGCCTGAGATGCCCCTGGTCTCCTGCACCCTGCCTGGGCTGCCAGGCGCTCGGCGGCTC